CACGTGCAAAGTTGTTGTTGTTTTCTTTCTCTGCTAATTAGACCAACTGATTTGTTTTGGCTGTTTTCGTTTCCTTCGCCGCTTAACATTGGATGATTTTATATTTTGTTTGAGTAAACTTTAAACTATAGATATTAACGAGAGCTTCGCTTTTAGCCCCGGCTTAATCTATATATTATTCTCTCATTTTACATGAGATTTTTTATTTTTACCTAAGCTTTGTAGAAACTTCTAAAAGCCTCAACAGGCTTCATTTGCATTGCAATTATTAACATTGTCTACGATGGCGAAAAAACCTTGCGTCTTGCAGTTCTGGCCCCAGTGTTTCTCTGTCAGGCGCTGCATGTCAGTGACCGAGAGAGTCTGGGATGAAAGGAAAGGGGGTCGGGACCGAGGCTTCTCTTACCTTTCACAATCCCACCGTGCTTTGCCCTCAACATAGTCGGAGAGACTTCTGGGTAAGAGAGAGTAAAACTACTCCTTCGACCGTCAGCCTTGTAAGCGAAAGTCCGGGTGGGCACTGCTCTTCAGAAAAGTGAGTATCTAGTGATTTTTCTTATGATTGTGCTCACAATAACTCGAACTGCCTCGCTAGAATAACCACAAATATACGTGTTAGCTGAAAAGAATTGTTTTGAAACTATACGATCACTTTATATTTATGCGGTATGGTATTCCTAGGCTGCTTCTGACACGCGCCGTGAGAGTTCTAGTTATGAGAGTCAACGGTAAATTTATTTTTTTCTTACATCTTTAATGGGGTTATAATATAGGCTACGAGTCCTCAGCTTCTACGTTCTTAAGATTTAGATCAACTTTCGTGGCCCATGATCAGAAGGAGTGAATATGATCAGAACGTTTAGTTTATTCAGTGGCTCAGTTACGCTGTAATGACAGTTTTAACAAAGTCTGCGACTCCGCAGTTTCTACGTCAGTGATAGGATTATGAGAACCTGAAATCTGAAAATATATTGACCCGGTCCAGCTGTGTAGCAATAAACGCATAGATGCGTGATTGCCATTTTTAGGATTCAGTCGTGATCGTATGCAAATTGCCTTCTACTTTGCTTTTAACCGCTTTGCTGATTTTGTGATTGTTGCCAGATTAAAATAATTTTTCGCACTCTGTGGTCAAGAGATTTTTCTTACAGTGGGAGACAATCGGTGGCTGGTTAAAGATTTGTTCAAGCTTAGGTTGCTGTTGAATGATGCGTGCCGGTATTTCAAGAGAATCTTTTTGAGATTCGGTGATGCCGGATTATAGGTAATAACAAACGGTAAAATTTTTTTTGTTTTTCTGTTTTGTTGTAAAGAGCCTCTTTTATGTTCTCGAACTTAACTTCATCAGTCAGTATTTTATTGAAAGAGAGCAAGCATTTGGGAATTCAAAATCGATATTTTTGTCTCCAGCGAAATCTGGCGGATGAACAGTAATTTGCATATAAGCGTAAGTGAAGCGAAATAGATACTAATTGCCGTGGTTGTAAACACAATGTTTCCTCGAAGTTTTTTTCCTTTTGAAAGCGTAAATTCGCATGAAAGAGCTTAGCTTGCACAAAATAATATAAAATGAAACGAATCAAATCGAAAAGTGGTAAAAAAAAGTCAGGATATTTCAATTCGATGGAAAGTAAGTGATTGGGTAGGTGATTTGCATACTGATAAAAACATCTTCTAGCGCAGTTCAAAACCGTTCGGCTTCCTGAATTGTTTTCTTGGAATTCTATACATTCTGCTGGCCTAAATCGTTAAAATATGTTATGAAGTCAAAATATTTATCAAGTTGAGCGTTTGCATTTCCTTATAAAACAGAGAGTAGCGCGAAAGCTTCGATCTATAGATTTTCTTAAGTTAAATTACCTTTGTATCGTGGAAACAATACCCTAACACTTGAGTCTTGAATCAAAGGACGCGACATGCGTCGGCTCCCTTTGTGAGCGCGCAAATAGTCATGGGACCCGCGATTTTGCGGGCGACACGTATCTACAGGCGCCGTTCCGTAATGCTCTTTGACAGAGTCTGTGTTCAAAGTCTCGTTTGTTTTGTTCAAAGTTTTCTATAGCTGAATAGTTCTTAAAAGTCGCGGTAATGCTTCTCCTTTTATAAAACTCTTATTGCAGATTAAAGAGTGGCACGATGAGAAGTGTGTACATTGAACAGTTCAATGTACACACTTCGGTGCGGTGTCATTACTGTGGGTAAAATTATGTTACGGCATTTCACTAAGAAACGGATGCAGAGAAGGACGTCAAAGCTGTTCATAAAAAGGCGCATTTGGTTAAATCATGACGAGATTCATAGAGGTCTGAAATCGCAGACCCCTGCTGATGTTCGCCTATTCAATAGGCGAACATCAGCAGGGGAGCTCTGTAAAAGTAATAAACCTTTCATGGCTCATTTACTTGGAGGTGACAAATTCTCATATCAAATGGATTCCTGTACGTCAACAAGTTTTCGGCGCAACAAAGAAGTAATCACTTAATTTGTCAGTTACAAATTAGCCGCTTAAGTCCTTTTGTTGTCAAACCGGAATAAATTTGCTTTTGCGCCCTCGCTTCATTTTTTCGCAACCCGCGCTAAAAAATTGTTAATTGTAATTTTTGTTCACTTGAAGTTACCTTTTTTTGTTTGCTTCTCTCACCGAGCTACAATGTGACTTCAGTGGACCCTGTTTTCTCGAGTGCGTTTGAAAAGCTCGGCCCTTAGCGGCAATATGCACGACAAGTAGCAGTAAAGAAGCGAACCGAATTCAAATGTAAAGCAGCGTTTTATTAGCAAAAACGTTACACTCTTTAGTAACGGAAAGACATTGTGAAAATATTATCTTTGACCACAGTCAATTACTCTTCAAACGCCAACTGGGTAACACCAACCGAAAATATTACTTCGAACTTACTGCCGCGATGATAACTGTAAATCTATCTCATTTCAAAAGCCTCAGCTCAGTATATCTAGAAGAAATGATCTTAATGATCATGATTAAGATCAACAAAAGTAAACCCAAATATATACAGAAGTTCTTAGCTACCCAATGATGAAATTCTTGTTCTGGAATATGAGGAGTTTTACGCAATCTTAAAAAGAAAAATTAACGATAAATCACGATGTTCTTACGATCATTTAAATAAAGAATAATCCTTCAGGACTTGTGAATATTGTTACCGGAGGAAATCTTGAGAGCTAAATTTTCGGAAGTTAAGTCTGACACTTTGAGCTCAGACGGACTTCCATACGCGCTAAACGTTTTGTCTATAACTTTTTTTCTGGTTTTGTAGCACTAATTTACGCACATTTTCACAAAATATTTTGACGCCCTCACCACGGAATACTTTTCAACTAGGTTCATTCTATCACATTTGCCAGTGACTGTACGTTTTATCGTCAGTCTTTCGGTTCTATAAAATCTTAAACATAATCTCCATAATGTCATGTTAACTCACTACTTACTGCGATAACTTTTAACACTGACGCACTGAAAATCCCGGCAAAATACAAAGGAAGGAAGTTAAGGTTCCGAAAAATAAAAATATTAATTCTAGGTTTTTACATGATGGCTATAATTTTGTCCAAACTTGGCCTTTTTGTTGGGTCTGCATTCAAGGCCTGAATAAACAAGACAGGAAGGTGTCCCAGTTCCGCTTTTCTAAAAATTGTCTCCGCAATTTTTGCGAGGCTAAAAATGTCACTGGCAACGCTTTGGCCCCTGAATCCTCCCACAATTTCGGGGGCAATATGTGGAAATTCCCTAGAATATGTTCTTTGTTTATCCAGTGAAAGAATTTTTGGCCCTCTTGCTCCACTCAGTGGGACACTTTTTCCAAAGTCTATGACTACCGGGTTGTAAGTACCATTTCTGTGGTCAATAACAACATTATTTGATTTCAGGTCATTGTGCAAAAACCCCTTTTCATGGATTCGAGATAAAGCCACCGCCGTCTTGCAAATTACCCTTGTCCAAGTTGTCTTGTCAGTTATTTGTTTCTTGGCAAGAACATTTGCTATGGTCATGGAACTGCCGTCCTGGGACCCATGAAACTGCATAATTATGCGATAGGGTACCCGCTCTGAGCAAACGCCAAATAAAAGCGGAAGACCGGGATGGTCGCCGAGTTTGATCATGATGCGCGCCTCGTAAATGAGCTCTTCTCGCACTCTCGTCTCTGCTTCCTTTTTACTTTCGTTGTTATAGTACCTCAAACGAAACTCTTTTACAACCACATCGATGCCCCTGTATGCTGCCAGGTAGCATGAACCGAAACTGCCACTGCCAAGGGGGACGTTTTTCATTGCTAGTTGATCTGGACAAATTTCTTTTAATACAACATGTGCCTGTGTTTGCCGCCGGACGACCTTCTTGGGGGGACCTTCCTCTTCCAGAAAAGCGCGGCTAGGGTTGGCTCTTTTACGAGTAGACTCGCCCAATTTTTCGCTCCCTTCTTTATCGACTACTTTAAGCTCTCCTTTCTGAACACGAGTTTGTACGATACGTTCCGCCTGTTGCTGAATCCTTCTCTCTCTATGGGAAGCCCTGGCCTGTCTTGCCTCTTCTTTTTTCCTTTCCTTACGTCTTTTTTTCTGCCTTTTTCGCTTAGCCTTAAATACGCGCCGCATCTCCTCGTTCATGATTGAAAAAATATTGATCTTACTTTTTCTTACTTACGAACACAACAGAAAAAGCTCGAATCAGTGAATGGAAAATCACCAAATGAACAGGGACTCTACTTTCTTAAGTTTTCGCCAATGAAACACATTCAAGTCTTCCGCAAGTTTCCGCCGGAAATGCCGTATACTAATGAGAATAAGTATTTTCAACTCAGTCAAGGTCTTTGACGAATATATCAAAACACATTACATGTCTTAAAATGTCGATGCTTTCAAGTAAACTGTGTCATCATGAGAACAATAAGGGAAAACAATAGCAGTTTTTCTTCTGTAGCATAACAAGGTATTGTATTGTTTGGTGGTTTGAAGTGGGACTTTGATTTTAGTTAAGCGTGATTATGGCTGACATTTATGTTGTTAAATGTCCTCGCTGCGAGAATAGTTTTCGGACGAGAAAAGCACTGGCAACGCATTTCAGCAAAAAACACCCGGGATATGAGGTTCCCGAAAACATTACGTTTTCGTTTGGAAAGAAGGAAGCTCCAACAGTAATACCTCGACTTCTGAAGAATAGAAAGCATTACTTGCAGTGGCTGGCAGAAATTGTAGAGTGTATTAACTCTGCGCACAATCCCAGTGTTCCAGGTTAGTATAGAATGATGATTTTCCCTCAGCCCCACCACTTAACCTGCGCCCAAGCTACAGTGCGAAAAGCCACGTGCACACGTTTCCTTACTCTTTTCCTCGCGTGTCGCCTACGAGTGTTTTCCGACGTGCGCGAGTAGATACCCGTTATACAACCAAAAAAGAAAACGATAAGTGGGATTTACCCGCTTAATGAACGTTTCTCTTCGACTCATCTCTGCTTGAGCAGCTCACTTTGTTTACCTTCAGATGTTATACATCCCATCGTCCTATAAACTTTTAATACTATGAATAAAAACAGGTCAAGGATTATATAAGTTCACAAGTCGTTGGAGATGTTCATACTTTTAATCTACTGTATGTTTTAATGTCATTTCAGCAAGATGGTGCCACTTCACCCATACTAGTGTCAAGGTCGAATTTTTTGGTCACTTACTAAAGAAGATTGGAAGCGCCAGGCTTAATGCGGTAAAAGAATGCAGGCACTTAAAACCACCACTCTGGAGAGAAAAGGCGTTACGCATGTCCTTCAAAACGTTCGAAATGAGTGACCTGAAAAGAGCTCTGTCCGAGCAAGAATCCGTGGATTTGCATGTAACAAAATCGTTCAGTGGGTCCAAAGAAATTGACGGCGCCCCCTCCCAGCTTTCTGGTCGCGCGGCCCTCGAGGCTGCTAAAAGGAAGCGAGTCCACCAACAAGCATCTCTAAGGTCAGAAATCATTTGTGGGGATGGAGAAGGAAGAGCAACCAGGGAATGTGAACTGATATGGAGTCCTATTTTTGACTCCCCAGACAATGGCATTCTCACTTTAAGAGTCTATGTTGGCAAGGTCCACCTTTGACACTTTTTATGCTGTAGTTACACTGCATATGATAAAATGAACATTCTTAAGTTAACCATCTTCAAAAGAAGACAACAAAAAGTTTGTTAAAACAATAAGTCGTTTTTTTTTCCTCTTTCTTTTGGGCGTTCACAGTTCAAAACTAGAAACAAGTTTACGCTCAAAACGCTCTCAGCATGGGGAAAATTCCTCGTGCTAAGAAAAAGATCATCGAAAGTAACCAGGAAGGGGTGATTTTTCCTTTCTAAATGAATCCTGTTACGGAAAATCTTACGGAGAAAAATTCTGCAAGCGGTCACGCCTTAAAAATGAGCCTTAAACGCAAGAAGAAAAAAAGGCATGCGAACAAGTGAAAACTATTGCACACCTATTAACAAATTATTGCTTGCACCCCTCCGATTATTTCTAATGGTGCCTAATTCTAACTTTTCGAGACCTGCGAACTGTCAACCAGTGAAACAAATGATTATACAAGTTAAAAAGTCTTAAGCAAGTTCAAATTAAAGTTTTGCTATTTTCACTTTACTTACACTTAAACAGTGCGTGTTAACATTATTTTTCCATTGTCCTCTGTACAATTCACTGTAGAAGTTTTGTTTTATGGTATTACAAGCAAATTGGTTGCATCCAAACAAAGTTCCACAAAGGAGAAAACAAGAAATATAATTGATTTATGTTCATGGAATATATATAATAATCATTCTTGTAGTTGTGTTCATAGAAAAGTCTTCGTTTGCTTGATCCCACTTTAAATGCAAATAAAAGGCTTAATTAAAAGAAATTGACCTGTTGATCAGGATACAAATGAAGGTACTGATTTTGTCACAAAGTTAAATATTAGTTATCTTAGTTCAAGAAAAACCCGGAAAAACATCTCAGATTCAGAGACAGTTACTTTTTAAAATACAAAAAATGTTCAGGAAGCTTCAGTATAATTGTTAATAACTTTTGTTGATACGGCCAAGCACTGTAAATAAGAAATATACAAAAAAGAATTCATCAGCGATTTGACACAAATATAATGATGTTGACATTTTTAAGCCTCACCATGTATTGCAATGGCTACTGGTATTTTATACTCTCTGGAACACCCAAACAATAAAATTCTCAAAGAGCCACAGTCTAAAAAGGCTAAGCCGATCTGTTGCATCAGGAAGACCAAATTGTTTTTCTTAATTCTGACAGGGGTTCAAATAAATAAAAGCTCATTTTTAGTTTCCCTGAGACACCTGGAGAATAAAATTCTCACAGAGCCACAGCCTAAAAAGGCTAAGCTGCTCTGTTGCATCAGGAAGGCCAAATTGTTTTTCTTAATTCTGACACGGGTTCACATAATCTATAAAGGCTGATTTTTAGTTTCCCCTGAGACACCTGGAGAATAAAATTCTCACAGAGCCACAGCCTAAAAAGGCTAAGCTGCTCTGTTGCATCAGGAAGGCCAAATTGTTTTTCAATCTTAATTCCAAGATGGGTTCAAATAATCTATAAAAGCTCATTTTTAGTTTCCCCTGAGACACCTGGAGAATAAAATTCTCACAGAGCCACAGCCTAAAAAGGCTAAGCTGCTCTGTTGCATCAGGAAGGCCAAATTGTTTTTCTTAATTCTGACACGGGTTCACATAATCTATAAAGGCTGATTTTTAGTTTCCCCTGAGACACCTGGAGAATAAAATTCTCACAGAGCCACAGCCTAAAAAGGCTAAGCTGCTCTGTTGCATCAGGAAGGCCAAATTGTTTTTCAATCTTAATTCCGAGACGGGTTCAAATAATCTATAAAGGCTCATTTTTAGTTTCCCCTGAGACACCTGGAGAATAAAATTCTCACAGAGCCACAGCCTAAAAAGGCTAAGCTGCTCTGTTGCATCAGGAAGGCCAAATTGTTTTTCAATCTTAATTCCGAGACGGGTTCAAATAATCTATAAAAGCTCATTTTTAAATTCTCACAGAACCACAGCGCAAAAAGGCTAAGCTGCTCCGTTGCATCAGGTCAAAGGTCAAATTGTTTTACCTATTGCTGACAGGGGTTCAAACAAAATCTCTAAAAGCTGCTTTTTTGTTCCCATTGAGGGCCCAGAGAATAATTAAAAGTTCTCGCACAGCCAGAACCTAAAAACTAACTTACTTGAGCAAAATTCCAATTTAAATAATTACTCACAAATTGATTCCTATAAAGCACATGGAGAAACATTCCTTCTCACAGAGTCGCAGCCTCAAAAAGCCAAGCTCCTCTGTTGCTTCCAGGCCATATGGGTGCCCAAGGAGGATTCCTGAAAAATGTAAAAAGCAAGCTTCTTAGCAATTTGTACAGTTCAACAGTAAATGAGGTCCTTGACAGTTAACCTCCAGGGCTGCAATAAGATGCTACCCTAAACACTGGTTATTATTATTAGAGGTCAATAAAGCCATTGGTGATCTAGTAAGAAACTAACTATTGTCTGTTTACTATGAGCATGTTGGAGTAGTAATGCAATAAAACAATATATTTTTGTCTGGCAAATAAATCTGATTTTTATGCAAGTCTTTATTGTTTTACTCCTCCAACATGGCTGCTGTGAACACACTTAACAAGAAATTAAGGAATATTGTATTGAAATCTTAGCATAGTAAGTTTTACAAAAACGAGCAAGCAGCCCTGGACATCTATCTACTTTTCCATGACTGTCCATGATGGCTTATAGAGTCCTACATAGATCCCCACTTAAGAATCTGAATCATCAACTGTTTCCTCAAAGGTCTCATTTCTGTGTAACTCCATCCAAACTGATACACCACCTCTTCTACACCCTTGTGAAGGAAATCTCTTGCAGCTAGAATGACGCCTACACCACAACTTCCAGTGCCTTGACCTGCTCTTGCGCATCCATGTTGAGATGGCATACCAAAACGCTCAAATTGATTAATGGCATTCCAGAAGGAATTTTGAAAGCAAGTAGCAGCAGGCCTTATACGTTGAAAAATATCAAGGACATACTTGATGTTCGGTAGTACACTCGCATCAGGCTGCAGTTTGTAGCCATCATCAAACAACAACCTACTATTCAGCAAATCAATTACAATTAACCCCCAATGTGATTCATTCATATGCAACGGGCACAGAATGACATCCAGTTCTTCCCTTCTAGAATTTGACATTACTTGCTCAAGCTTCCTCTGAATAAAACAAGGGCTGTTTGTCCCAAGCCAGGTGTGGGTTTCCGATGGCAGGCAAAGTGCTCTCGTCAAACTTCCTTGATTCAGACATTCTTGGAGGTAGTGCCATATCGTGACATCAATGACAAAATTATCTACGTACCTCTCACCGACCAGAGTTGAGAAAGATGAAACATCAAGGGACTTCCTACCAGCTCTCAAAATCGACTCACCTGTCCTCCGATCCCACAGCACCTCTTTAATGCAGGATATTTGATCCACACTAAGACCGTCATGATTCTCTGTTAACCACCTTTGTTCACTTACAACAGACAATTTCAGAGATGAAATCTCACAGAATTTGCGCAACACTGAAATCCCATCCCTGGAAAATGTTCCTACATTTCCAATGGAAACAGCTGCAGGTGACTGATGCGAATGAGGGTCACTTCTGAATGCTTTTTCAGCCTCATCTACTAATCTTTCAGCTGGCCTTTCTTTCAAAGAGAGGGGATCACTTTCAAGGTACGTTCCAAATATCGCAGTGACATTTCTACCAAAGGGACATTCAGCAGCTGGTGGAGGAACAGCAATGTTGCTCAGGCCCCTTCTTGTTAGTCCTGCAACAGTTGTAAGCCAGGCTTCCAAGTGACATGTCATCGGAGATTGAACTCTTACTGTTGTAGTAAGGTCAGCATGGGCAACATGTGTTGCACTGTTTTGAGCAACGGACCCTGAAATGGATGCTATGCCAGAAGAACTTGATAGACTGGTTGACATGGGGCTATCTCCATGTGAGGGAGAACTATCATCTGTGATGGTATTGAAAGATATACCTGGATTATCTGTGGTACCTTCAATGTGTAATGTGGGATTATCTTCAGTAAGGGAAGTACCTGGAAGACCAACTGTCACATATTCAGACTCTGTTGAGGAACTGGACATCTCAGGCTGTAGAGGACACATATCCAACTGAGGTGTCAAAGATTTCTTTGACTTTGGAAAATCAGACTGAATTAGCCCTATATAACTTTCATAGTTTTCCTCCCACAGCTTATGATCATAGTAGAAGACAGGCATGGGGCTGTCACTGTCGTCTACCTTGGAACCTTGGCCTTGAACAAAAACATACTTCAAAGTATCCTTTCCATACAGTGACTCAAACAACTGATTCATTGCTGTTATCCAGATCTTGTCTTCTGTACTCCAAGAGACAGCTTTGTTTGCCCAACCACATCCACGGAAATAGAAGTTTTTCTTACCTGTCACAAGGTTAAACAGAATCAAGTGTATCAAACTTTGAGCAAACAGAAACCTATAAGGCATATCTAACACAATTTTGCCATATAAAATTTTAACTACATTACTTTACACACCTTCTGCAATACACTCCTTTGCTTTAACAAACTGGTATCGTAAAAATAGCATCATCTCTGAAAGCCAATGGGTTATGATCTGGTCCACTATTGAAGCAAAGTCAACAAAAATAGGTAATATTAATGATTGGTTTATGCTTACAAGACCCAACTTTCTAAACAGTCTGATGTGAAGTGCTTCAATTTTTATTGACTTAGAGTTGTGCTGCCAAGAAGACATAAATAGCTATTTTCCACAGTTAAAATAGATATTTCAACTTACCAGACTGAGTGACTCCTCCTTGGTCATGATTGGTTGCCCTGGAATAAAGAGCTCGATGAACCTTGTGCGATGCCTCAAATCCCTGATTGGAGTACTTGGCAAAGGAGCGGTGAAGGCGAAACAGCATAGCAGAATGGTCAATAGTTAGATGGCCATAATCCCCAGTCCCCAGAGTGACACCAAACAAATGACGCAATAGGAAACCCCAAAGCTTGCACTAAAGTGTTAAATAAAAATGTAAAATCACGAAATTAGACGTCACATTACTTGGTAATTGCTAAAAAGCACAACAGTATATATGTTTGTTGCTGTTATCTTCATAAGCATCATTGTTTATATTATCACTGGCCTATACTAATGTGTCATCTTAAATATTTTACTTGTTTGAATGCAATAGTTCCTCGAATAAATTTTACCTTGACATCAAAAATGTCTATCTGTTCATCTCTGCTGTCTTCAAATTCACTCTCTCTGACTACTTTAGCAATTTCATTCCATCCTTTAAAGGCCTGCATTAATGTAAAGAGAAACTTTGAGTCAGTGGAGAATTAAAGTTTATTAGCTTGTGTTGTTATAAGAATTGGTATGGAATTAGATTCCTGGCCTTAAGCAGAACACCTGAAAGCTATAATTATCTATAACTCCTACCCCAGCATTCTTGAATGGTACCCTCAACCAGCACACAGTGCTTTAATTGTTATGATATAAATTTTGGTGAAAAATATCACTTAAAAACAAGATCAACACGAGTGCTCACAAACCTTGTGGAAATGAGAGATCTGAAGAGAGGCTGCAAGTTCTGCCATTGCTGAAGATGAATCAGACTTCTCACATGTCTGTGCAGATTTCCTCTTCCTTCCCTTTTTCTTTGCTGGTGGATCAATAGGAGCTGAAGGTCCAGAGGTTTGCTCACAGGCAATGAATTTTTGCTCAACCTCTTCCAGCTCTTTTGACAAAACCTCCTTCTCACCTTGCAGAAACTTCTTTAGATCTTAAGAAACAATTACCCCAAATAAAGATGTTCATGAAATTCAGGCTACACATGTCTAAATTTAAATACCAGAATACTGTAGTATTCATAGATCTTTAGCTGATCCTAAAGAACATAGTGTGCGGGTTTGTACTAGTCCCATGAGGGTTGCAAATAGTGTTACTTTCCTTTCTTGAAAGGACATTAAGTCTGACCAAATTATCTCCATTTTGTTGAGACAAAAAAGAAGGGAGGGGATTTTTTCACATTGTTTCCTTGTCATATGGTATAACAAAAAAAATCAATTCGTCAGGACACAATATCTAAACGTAATACAACATAAATATTTGTCAGAAATGACCAACAGTTTGTCCATCCCCTGTAAACCTATTACTTTTGTTCAAATGATCACCTTTAGCATCATCCAAACTGACATCCTCCTGGAATTTGCCAAAGTCTCTCTTGAACTTTCCAGTTTGTAAGATGTCCTCAACATACTGTCAAAAAAACATGACCGATAAGCACCAGTGTTTAGAGTAATTTTCAGTTCCTGTTATTGCCAGCTTAGTCAATGAACTTAATATAGTCTGTAGCTAAATCTGGCTTAACAATTCTTGGGGACCTGAAGCATGGAATTATAAAGTGGCTTCCTTCAAGTCCTAAGAAATTAATTAAAAAATTGTTCTGGGTTGATTTTGTTTCATTTCTTGTTTCCCTGCTAAACAATTGCCAGCACATCACTCCACTTCAAGTCAGTTTATCGTGCAACCCACAAAAGGATATAAAAGTCAATAGTGAAATGAAATGCATATTGATTTTCCCTGACGTGAAAGTTTTCTGACATCTGACAAAATTACGAAAACCATCATACCTCCTTGGTTGCATTAGTAAATGTCACGTAGCCTAAGATCACATCTCGGGAGGCACCATTCACCTCTTTGTAATAGCCTTCAACTTTGCCCTTTGGTAAAGACTTGTCAACGATGACATCAGTATTCTCAAGAATCTTTCTCTCAGTATTTCCTACAAAAAAGCTCATGTGAGAAAACAGACAGTGCATGATAGGTGGGTATAAGGTATAATCAACCTAATTATTCAGCATAGTTTAAACCTGTAAATAAGTTTGGACTTTAGCATCCAACCTCAAACTCATTACTAGCAATCTACATTATTTTGCTTCCTGATTTTTGGTAATATATTATCATAAGGAAACGTTGAGGATCAATGATATTAAAATGTATTAAGTTAGAGAATGGGTGGATCCTGTAAAAAGCAAATTTAATGTTGCTTATCAATGGCTTATGGCCAAAAAGTTTTGATTACCAGAGAAGGATGCAACAGATACGTTGTTCTTGTCAACTGCAGTCTGTTGGCCCTGGCGAAGTTTCACTTTTATCCGGTCATATCCCCTTGACAATTCAGGACCATACTGGCTTAGGGCTTCATTGCATTCACTGAGGGAATTGCACCTGTAGGCAAATAGACCAAGGGAACCTAGGAGCTGCTCTGTGTTCCTCATCTCACTGTGAAGTGCGCATAGGGAAACATTGCTCAGGTCCTCATCCAACAGAAACAAGAGATCATCTCGAATTCCAGACCATCTTTGAGGAAAGGAAATTTTAAAAGTTCTTGTTATTATCCTTAATTATAAGAATCATGTTAAATTCAGAAAAAAAAATAATAGTGGCCTCTGTGTCAGCTTCAGTGTTACATGCTGTAATAGTATTCCACAGCACCATATGCAAACTGTATCACTGGTAAATTATAAATTATTATTATAATAGTTAGCATTATAATCTGTCACTGTGGTTAACTAACCTTCCGATATTCGCCTTAGATTGGAGGCAGGTAAGGCACACCTCATCAAAGGAACCACCCCAATGTTCTTGGCAGGCCTGTCAAAAGCATTTAAAAATAACATTCTTGTATACTTTTGGTCATTACAGTAAACCATGAAGGGTTACATAACATATAAACATCAATATCTCCTTTAGGAGTATCATTATTGCCATCCACTTTTCATCTTCATCATCAACATCTTCTTACAACAGGACTACAATATTGTTAACAAGTTTGTTGACAACTTTGTTCCCTCCAAAAGCAAATGATAATAAAAAAATGATGAGTGACTGCACATACCCGCAGAGCATGACATAAGAAGCAAAATTCAATTTCGATTCCCCTTCCAGCCAGCACAAAGTTCTCATCATGAAGCTTTTCAAGAAACAGGTACAGGCATTTCAAATCAAGAGTCACTGCAGCAAAGATTAAGAAATTTACAGCCATAATGTCAAAGTGGTATAAACTATTATTACAATCAATTTATTAGTAATAACAACAATTCCTCAATATGTAATACAGATTGTACCATTAGAATCTTGGTTAATTTACAGCATGGAAAGAAAGTAGTGTGCGATAGCCCGAGGATAGTGGATTTTGCTATCACGCTTAAGTGAATTCTGTTTTTAACTTGCCCTACAGGCAAGTGATGTGTTTTGAGGAATTTGAATAACAAGAACTGTGAAATCAATTCTGCTCGTCAAAATAGCTTTTGGGGCTACTTGAAAAAATAATTTTCTTTGCACCCTGCATGATTTAGCTTTTGGCTTACTTTGTTGATCATTGATCGCCAAGCTACAGTACTTTGATTGCATATGTTAGTGTGTCGGCCGCAACAATTTGACAATTATATTCAGCATTGCAGCTACATACTAAAACAATAATACAGAAAGTTAATATTGCTACCAACCTCTTTTAATCAGCAGATCATTTAAAATATCATATATGACAGCAGATTTTTAGAAGGGAGATTTATAGTTAATTGGCCTAAACAACCACTAAAGACAACCTACAAGCTGCCTTAGGTACCCTTTCAAAACAAATCTCTTTTGTAACAAGTCTTAAGAGTACCTGTAAATGAAACGTCATAGTGTATACCATCTACAGTGATACCCTCCTCTTTAAGCAGAGTACCAAGCTTTTTGAAAAAAATCCACTTTTCAGCATAAAACAACCAAATCTGTCTATTTCATGTAAAATTAGGTGAAAAAGTTGGTAAAAGGCCCTTTTTAGGTTTTTTGATTAACCCATTCGCCCCTGAACCGCCCGTAACCGCCCGTGCAGATCCAGGTCCTTTCTACCCTTTGTGACGTCATCAGTTTTAGCGGTCAAGGACAACTTTCTTCGCTAACTCGTGCAGAGTGAAGAGATCTTTCAAACCATACCAGAATCAGCACAATTCAGTCAAGGACACAGGAGAAAGAAGCAAAAAACCACGTGACAAGGCCCGTACGATACAGAAGACGTTAAAACAGCGCTGCTTTAGCGACTTATTATCGCTGCAACGAGCGCTGCAGAAAGGTTGCACGAACGCTGTTTTCCGTTCGCTGCAGCAGTGCATTTTTGTGACTGCGTGAACGCTGCGGTAGCGACACTGAGAGCTGCAGGAGCGCTGCCGTAAAGATGCAAAAAAATAGCCACACGAGGCCATACGGTCGATAAACAGCTTTTATGCAGCGCTGTGCAGCGTTAGTGAAGCGCTGCCAAGAACAGTTGTACAAAAAAAAGAAATGCAGACTTCAACAATACAATAATCATGAGACATGGTAAAGGAGTTGACAAGAGGCCTTATAGTAGCGGAGTAAAAACCACAAGAAATACAAAATGCAACTGATACTTTATTAGTATTCACGCGTACACGTTACAAAAGCAGGTGACATATAAAAAATCTACGACAGTCTCGCTTTGTAAATATTCAGCAATCACGGTCACTCATCTAAATGTAAGAACATCCCTTAACATGCCGACATTGAAGTTTATCTTTTTTTAAAATAAAGAGAATAAGAGCGATTGTTCTACATAAAGTTTGCACGGACAGCAGCCAAATGATGTTTTGATTCGTTGCAACAGCCTAACATCGCTCACCTTGACGTTTTGTCCATGATCCACGATCTGCCGTCACTGTTTTCATGAAAAAATCAACCCAATTTTACCTTGGTCGTCGTTAAATTTACAATGGACTAAGGAACGTACATCATCGTGAACGTTTGAATCTTGTAAATACATGCGTACCCCAGCTCAGATTCTTGTATCTGTGTTGCTTGCTCTGGTTCGATTCGTCGGTACTTCGCGTAGAATTCACTGAACAGTGCCGTTGTTTACAAATACCTTTGAGCTGTTCCATCCAAAAACATCAACAGAACTTCCACCTCGAAACACTGAACTAGATGCTAAACACTTACAATGTATGAATGTTTGCGCCTTTCATTCAACGGTCGCAAATGTTTGTCCAGCGATGTAATGTGATCTGATGCAAAAGTGCCGACCAATTAGATTACAGCCTAGAATGTCTCCAGGGAATTAGCGATAACATTCCCACACTCGCCAGTCACGGAATAAAATTTATTGAAATCTTTATTCCAAAAGCATAGAATTTGGAGGTTTATTCAATAAGTGATCTTCCCCGCGTATAAGCTTACTCACATTTCTTAGAGGTACAGTCAAAGTTTTCTCGTTATGAAAGCCGTAATCTGTGGCAAAAGGCTTTTCTGGCGGTTCATGTTATGAGCGCTCAAGAACGTTGTGCTATCAGATCCAGCGTAGCTGAATTGTATCGTTACTGCAGCTATTGAAAGTCGGCAACTGCGCTGCAAAACTGCTGCTGAGAGCTTCAAAGGCAGCACCAGCGCTTTTGCATCCCGCTGCAACTTGGATTAAGCTGTTGTTTGGCTTCTAAAATGCTGCTAAACAGCTGTAATTTAGCTGTACAGCTATTTTGTGGCGCCGTACAGCGCTGCAAGTTTCGTACGGGTTTGCTCTCCAGGGTTTTAATTTTGAAGATCTTTAAGTCCTTATTTGGTATCTGCAGCGTTGTGCAGCGATAATGCAGCCTCAAGCGTCGCTTGTATTCAGGTTGTCATATGGAGTGGTTTCAATGTTTATATCTAAGTCTCATTGCAGCTTTTAAGCAGCGGCCCGCAGCGCTGCTTTACCGCTGCTTTACCGTGGCAAAATTTTGCAGCGCTTTCGCAGTGCACGAAATGTGACGTTCTCTGCTTTAGCGACTCACGAGCACTGCTTTACAGACGCTTAAGCGCTGTGCAACCATAAAAGTGAACTGCTGCAGCGCTGCGGCAGCGTTGCGTCGTTCGTACGGGAAGGACCTGAAAATCTCCATGAAAATCTTGTTCCATTACCCACCTACCTTTCCTTTCACCTAATCCTAAGATCCTAAAAGCTTTCCTAAAAACTCTTCCCACCAAAATAAAGCCTACTAAATGCCCAGCAAGAGAAAAAAAAAATGAGGCAAGAAAAGCGAAAAAAGAAGGGAGGAGAGAAAGCGAAAAGTAAAAGTCAAGACTGCTGTGTCACTTTTAAACCCAAAAACTATGTCGAAATTTTGCTTTCTGCGCATGCCCGAACTTCGCTAGCTGATATTTTGCATCTGGATCAGAAGGCCGCCAAGTGTACGACCTGTAAACCGGTTTGTGGTAAGTTTTAGCTCTTTATAGCACGACAGTGACCAGAAAACCACTCGACTAGCTTCAAAACGCGTTTTTCGGCAAAATCTCCAGGAGCGAATGGGTTAAGGATCTTCTTTTCTTCATTCAACCTGATGACCATCTTTTTCAATTCACTCCTAATTAAAAAACAGGAGAATGCAGGCAAAAAAAATCTTACATAATGCATGAAGGTGTGAACAGAATGGAGATTTTTAGTTAGATGTCAAACATCTGATTGATTAAAGGTTATAAAAAAATATATAATTATATTGCTCACTATGATTGGCTTAAAAAGTCAAATACTCAGTTTTGTTCCCATGTATGTGATGGCAACCTATTTTAGACATACCTTTTCTCTGAACAGTTTGCAATAGCAAGAGGGTAAACTGCCAAGGAACTCTGACAACCCTTCGTAGTATTCCCTGCAGTTGTTGAATTAATAGGAACAATTCCAGCGGACACTTGCTCTCTCCCTGTGTTACAGATTGAAGGAATCAAAGAAGTCAGAATCTAATAAATATACAGTGTCTATCAGCTTTGCAAACTGAGCCAGTAACTTTAACTGGTTAAAGAAGACTCCTGAAAGTAATCTCCTTTCAGACACATGATGGTATTTTAAATATTTTTTCATGTGTGTAATGTAACGCAATGTAAATAGATTTTTCTCTTTTCCTTCCTTTTACTCTTTTTGTTCTAGAACTGAGGATATTACTCTGAAAGTCGAGTATAAAGATCATGTTGTATGCATGTATACATGCATGTATGTATGTATGTAATTATACTAGCTTACATGTGTGATGCTGATGACTTAATTTGAGCCTGATAGAAATTATTTTCATTTAAAACAGTTTCAGTTTTCAAGTTCAAATTGTTCAACCTGTAAATCTATAGGGCTAAGATGGCAAATTAGTAAAGAAAGGTCAAATCATCATAGCGGGTTAAAAAATTTCACTTGTAGTTGTGTATTTTATACATAATTTGATAAGGTCAACTCATTAAAGTTTCATCATACTAAGGCATATCTGATGGAGACAATGGGTATTTTGTATACATACCTCCAAGAGGTCTTCCATCAAGCTTCAAATTGAACTCCTGCATCTTCGAGATCGTTGCTTGATGCAAACGGCTTTGCCTGATTTGCCATGCCACAGCCATTTTCAAACTTATGCTACAACCACGTATGGACTCAGCAAGGGGTTCCAACTGGAATATGTTTCTTGTCACAGAAAAGACAAGATCTTTCTGAGCACGGATTTTATTTGTGGTCAGCAGAAGACCAGCATCAATAGCTTTCTGTATAATAAACAGACACATTCCACAATTTAAAACTAGCTCTAAGAGAGAAGCTACAGCTGTCTTAGGTCAGAAGTCCTACTGCAATACCTTTGCTCAGTGAATATCATTTTCAAGATAGTCTAAAGCAGCAGACCTGAAAAGATCACCACCTGACATTGGCCAAAGTTCAAAATCTCTGATAATGTTAAAATCCTCATAACCTACACAGAATAAAGTTTATATAATTACATTGTAAATCATTGTAAAATAAAGTTTTAATTTTTGTATCAGTTTCCTAGCTCAGTACAATGTGATTTTTTACTCACTTTTACTAACAGTTGTCGGCCACTCACCAGCCTTTAAATTGACAAAATAAGATATTTCCTGTTTTCCTACTAGGGCTTTAATCAAATTGAAAATATCCACTCATATCCATTTAAATAAATTGAATCTAACAGTTCACCATTACACTTTCACACAAAAGCAGTAATATTGACAGTTTACAAAGTGATCATAAGAACAATAGTTCCGTATAGTCCTCGTGTATTGCAGCGATTAACATGTGTTTCTACTAAATTATAATATTTGTAGAAGATACAAAGAAACGCAAAATAGACTTACCCCGCTACGGCCGATGTTTAAAAAATTCAAAAGGGTTTGCCAAGATTTGTTGGGGAGCTTTGTAGCAAGTTTCACGTAAAGCTGAATCCAATCAGGCACCCTCAATGAATTGACATAATCATCGTATACATTTTCTTTCAGCAATGTCGTGAAGGCCTTTCTTACTCCTTTCTTATCTGCTACCGTGAGGACAGTGGAAGACACGGCCTCTCGCACAAACGCTTCATTTTCTTCGCCGGCGTACAGGAACCCATAACCCAGAACCTTTCCGAGATCTTCTCCACACGACGAAACAGTTGCTCTAACCACTTCCAAACTCTCCTTCGCGAACTTTCCCGCGAGTTTTGATTTCAGTCGAGGACCAGCAATTTTTTCTACCTCTTGCAGGGTTTCAGAGGGCAGCTTCCCAAGGCCCATAGTGATCGATGAAGCTTTCGTAGTGTCTATGGCTTCGAATTCATCTGGATCTGGTGGAGGCGTCTCGGGAAAGATCATGGCGGGAGAATTGTTTCCCGCCATATTTTCAAGTTGCATGGAATTCAGACCTTCTCTGGTCGCCTTAAACTCGCTCGAACCAAAGAATTTATCGTCACGATCTACATTCTTTCGGCGTAAGGATCGGCCAAGGATACCAAACAGTGTTGCAACAATAACATTGTCTTTCCTCCTTGAGGACCCAAACAATGACGGGTCGACTTGTTTGCCGGTGCTATCGACCAAGTCGTGGATCGATACTTCCAAAATATCACTCGTAAAAAGCCAAAATTGGTCGCTTGCCATGAATTCTCTAGGCCTATAAAACCACTCAGTGGATACTGCGTACCAGATAACTTGTGGGTTAAGTGATGGCCCAAAGACGCGCTGCAAGCCGAGAGAAGATGTTTCTCCCGACGAAGGCGCCATCTTCTTGCCGGCTTGAATGATTCGAAAATTCGCGCGATCGCGGAATAATGTTCATTCTGTTAAGTATTAACTACCGCTTTCGCCAAATAAGTTCATAGTATCTGCCTTTCGTCTCGTCGTGAATCAGTTAGCAGTTCATCAAATACGCGTGACCACAAAGTACTTAAACATGACAGATTAATGCCACTGTTAATTGATAGCTAATTAAATTTTACCTAAGAGACCGGAAATTGAAACTTCTACCCTGTGGCGAATTTCAAAGTCGCATGAATCTCGTCATGGAGAGGCAAAGGGTGCTCAATTTTTTTTTTGAGTGCGAAGGTAATTCTTATCACGCTACTAAAGGATATAAAGTAGGTATGGTACGTACCTTACCGCACAACAAAACTCAACAAACTTATACAATTTCCGCGTGTTTGCTAATATTGGACATTTTATGTGTGCTTTTCAGCTTAGAAATTCTACCACAGGATTGCGAGAAGCACATACAAACTCGATTTTCTCTTTAGCAATTTCGGTTTTGGAGTATTACACAGTCAGAAATGTTATGTCATGTTTCAGTGCTTGATCTGACTAAGACTGAGTTACCGATCCGATTTCAGTAGTCTTCTTTTACCAGGTCGCTTTATTTTCCGATTTTAACCGTTTATTCGAGTTAATTTGGACCATGTTTTGCTCCCTATAGCAGTAATGCCTTTGATATATTAGAATCAAGCTCAAAAAAAAATTTTAAAAAAGCTCATGTGAATTTTGCGAACAACTTTCATGTCGGAAACGCGTGTTGCCCATACACAAAGCCTGCCTGAGTCACGCGGGGGGTCCAAGGTGACAAAACATATTTTTAATAATAATGCAAAGCGCTATAGATCGTTTTCACTCACGTGGTGAGCAGCTATGCAAATTTGTTGGAACAAAGATATTTTTTTTACATTAGAAAAGCGTCAATCCCGAACAGATGTTTTTTGTACACCAACATGGCCGCCGTTTTCATTGTTTTGTACACCAATATGGCCGCCGTGACGTCAGGTGAAAACGATCTATTGCGTAAGAAGCCTGAAAAAAATTTAGGACTTGGACGGGATTTGAACCAGTGACCTCGCGATACCGGTGCGATGTTCTAACCAACTGAGCTGTGAAGCCACTGATGTTGGAAGCTAGTCAATCATGTGTTCTTATGTTCCAGTGATAAAATAAATGTGATAGATGTATACGAAATAAATTTTATAAGAACTGCGGAAACGAAATCAAATGAAGAATGATCCTCGCAGTTGTGAACGCAATTTATGCAATTGCGTAAGAAGTCTAGCGAAGTCAACAAAATTGAAAACTTCTTTCTTTGAAATGTCCCACAGTGAAAAATGCCATTCATAAATCTCTTCCAGACCAAAGGTTTAGAGGGGCTAGCTATTAGCGATCGGTTTTCTAGGTCTGCCATAAAAATAGCAAAGAAAGCAACTGTTGTCTTAGTTCCCATATGCGACGCCATGTGTTTGTATGAAATGCATGTCTTTCTTTGAACTTGAAGCTAGGAATTTTCTTTAAGTATGAGCCGCAAAAGTTCCCCTAACTAATTTGGGGGTTGGCAAATTATGCTCATTGTGATCTTCGTAGTGACGGCAAATAACGTCAATCCGCTTCTGTTTAAGGGATGTTTGTGTAAAGGGAACTCACATCCAGAGTGGCTAAAACCACATGGTCGGAGATTTGCGTGCTTTCAATAAAGTTGATGAAATCGGTAGTGTCTTTTAGATGTAACTCCTGTCTTTGTTGACTATGTTGGATCCTTCGTCAGTTGCTTTTTATAGCTTTTTTCTAAGAGCTCAGGAAGCAGGATTCTGTATATGCGACATGAAAAGAACAGACTCAAGTTTAGTCTACGGCACTAGCTCTCTTGGTGAGCTCTTGTAAGCAACTGCGAAGGATCCAATATTTTGGTTCCGAAACCGGTCTTGCCGTCATAGCTAAGAAGAGTGTTACGTTTTTCTTAGAACTTAACCATCTGACACACTTATAATCTGGTACCAAATATATCAGTGTCACTTTGCCTATACCGCGGAAAGCTTGGATCCGTTTCGGTACCGTTAAAACCATGCGGTCTTTTGTTTCAATCAAGCATATTCTCAACCAGCTACCCATTGCACCTTAATGGGAGGAAAGCTTTTCATAAGACCTTTTACACTGTTTTTAGTCCTAGTTCGATATCCTTCAATGAAAACGCAATCCTAAAAAGTTTCTATCCTAAGAAATTTTATTCTTCGAAGCTTAGCTAAGCTTTTCAAAGATTTACCGCCAACTTGAAGGGAATTTGCATATAATCACCTTTGATTATAGAACCGCGCTCGACCCGAGTATATCATTCTGATTACAGCGTAACTGAGCCAATAAACTAAACGTTACTGGTTATTTTCTTTCCTTCTAAACCGCAAAAGTTGATCTAAATCTTGCGAACGTAGAAGCTAAGGACTCATAGCCTTTATGATAACCCCATAAAAAATAAATTTACTGTTGACTCTGATTACTAGAACTTTCAAGGCGCGTGTCAGAAGTCGAACCTATGGTAACTAATCGCTGATAAGCGCCTTGAATGTTCTAGTTATCAGGGTCAACTGTAAATTTATTTTAATTTGTTACATCTTTAATGGGAAGACTTATGATGAGCATGGTGGAGCCTCAGACTAGACAGCACAAATAACATAAAAGAAAAACGGGAGCGAGCTAAAAAAGGGACAAGTATAACAGGACTAGAGAGCTCAAAAGTTTTTGATCATGCAAGATCTTAAACCAATTTTTAACGTGGCAGCTGAATCTGTCTGAGCCCGCCAAATTAGTTTACAGGATCGCAAAAGAATAAAGTCGTCAACATTTTATATATTATTTTCTCTTATCATATTGAAACCACCAACAAACTGTAACTTCGCCAAATCGGATGAAGGTCAAGACTTCCGTCAAGACTTCGGATGGTACTTAGCTTTAACAGTTCTACTGACTATAATCATAGTTATTAAACTGTGCAATAACTAAATATTTTAACGCAAAGACTGAATTCGAAACTTAAGGTGAAGCATTTAGACAGGTATTATCTCATTCTGTTAATCTGAGTTGATATGCAAGTGACTGTTTAGAGTTCCGTTTAGCTTAATGTTAATTAAACCATAGAAGTCTGAAGAGACAAGCCTTAACCTGTTGAAAATAGATATTAATTGAAGTTTTCATTTTTAAAAAAATTAAAATTAATACAAAACACCTTAAAAGGTGTTTTGATACAGTTTTCGGAGACCATACCGATATTTTTAAATGTGCCGGATTTTATCCTTGTCCGATCGCCATAAAATTTTCACCCCTAGCTGACCTTGCATGAATTGAAGTTTGTCAAAATATAGCTATAGTTTTAAGTAAAATCGATATCACCATGACAACGACAAACACAAATCTCAAAAATATACGATTTTTTCGACATCTAGACCTTCCATCGAAAATTCAACATTAGGATCTTAAAGTGTTACGTGTTTGGCAAATAATCTCTCTTCCTCGGAGACCCAGGGGCGGTTAGACGGCGGCGAAAGGTTTCAAAAACAGGCGAGAGCGCCCCTGGCAAACTAGCTTAAGTTAACTCTTAACGAACCAGTGGCACAACTTATTCGAATGCTTGGCTGTGATTTTTTTGTGCCCAATCAGAGGCCAGCATCTGTCGCGCTGCTTTCGTGTTCTTCTTATACGAAGGAGTCTACATGCAAATTCGATTGCATATGGCCAATGTCAGACTTGCGGTGTTCTGCAGGGATCCATTCTAGGACCTCTTTCACTTGACCCGTGAAACAGTTAACAATAACTACGGTATGCGGCTTAGTATCCGGCCACTTAAAACAAAACTCAGTTTTTGCAGCGCCCTTTTTAGTTTTCGGTAAACGAAGTATTTCGCATGGGAGCTGAACATTTCAGCTTTAAAATGCAAGTTTTGGCCGGTTTACAGCTTAAGAAACAGTTGTAGAGGGCGCCGTTCTGTTCAGGTGAGTAAAATTTTCATGGCTAATATTTACGCTTTTTACTATGCAGTAAATAAGGGTTGGTAATATGTGGTATTTTCAAAGAAACTGTTTTATATAAGTATTGATGTCTAGTGCCTAATATCTGGCCAGTTTTTTCTTTGCCGTGCAAAATCGATGAATTAGCTGCATACATTATCCGGACAAGAGTTATTTCATATCTATAACTATAATTAACGCTTAGGATATACAATATAAGCTGTATAATAAAAATTTTCTTCTCTCATTCAGAGGCGAATTGATTTCATATGCACGACTTGTTTCGCGTGACTGCATTTTCTATATATAACCAGAAGCGTCGAAGTTGAACCCACCGGGAATTCTCATACAAATCCCCGATTTGTGACAGCTAGAAAAGGGTTGCAACAAAGGTCTGAAAAATTTCTGAAAGGGATTGAGACATGTGAAAGGAAGAGGAATTAGTGCTAGAAAAGCAGCCCAAATGTGGGGACTGAGCATGGAGAAATGAACACTGCGGTTCAGACTAAATGGGAGTGTGGCCTTTAACTATCGAAAAGGCCCTTCTCCACTTTTTTTAACAAAAAATTAAAAACAAAACCCGGTTCGCAAATTGGCTAATTGAACTTGCAAACAGCGACTTTGACTTGAACACACATGCGTTCCTTAAATCAGTGAAAACGTTTCTAGACAAGGAAGTAACAGCTAAACCATTTGAAGACAGCAAGTCTTCCTTTCCATTTTATTAAATTATATCCCAGTATGCAATTTTGATTCAAATTTCTTGCGTTTCATTAAATAAACGGGCATTTCCTGTAAGAGTTCCCTCCAATGGCCACACTATCAATGGAGGCTGGAGGCTGGAGGCGCGGTGTG